GAGTGTGAGATTTCTTTCTTTTTTCTGGGTATTTATTAACTGGTTTGTCTCCGTTTTGGGTGTTTTTTTAATTATTATTATTGTCTCAGAAAGAGTGAATTCCGTTTGCTGGGTAGACTTAAAGGAAATGTTATTATCACCATTATTATAATCAACATCATAATGATCATCGTTATCATTATAATGACTATTGTTATTTTTATCAATACTATTGTAATTAAACTCGTTTCCTCAATACTGCAGAGAATATGAAACTAAAAACCTACTCGAAATCATCAAAACACAACCATTAATAACACCATGAACCAAGAAAGTCATATCTATTAATATCCCATTTTAATTAATCAAATCTAATTGGAAATGTATTAATGTGACGGAAAGAAGGTTTAACGAAGTAAAACAACGAAAATGTAGAATAAGTATTAAATTGACTGCGTACTTGCCGTTACTAACTGCGAGATAATTTCATAGTAATGGTAAACTAACAGAGATTTTCACGTTTCATGATGGTATTATATAATGGTGAGAGTTTCTGTTTAAGATAGACAATAGACAGATTCGTTATTTCATCACTGATATATGTATATTCTTATAGGTGGGATTTAGTTATCAGGAACCGTGTTTCAAGTAGGAAAGGTGGACCAACAAAAATATATGCTATAGTTGATTAGTGTAACTCCCTAGAGAAATAGGGAGAAAGGGAAAGAGAAACAAAGACACGCGCGCATGCACACACACACACACACACACACACACACACACACACACACACACACACACACACACACACACACACACAACAACACAACACATAACCACACCACACACACACACACACACACACACACACCAACACATACACACACACACACACACACATACACACATACATACATATAAACATACACACAGCGAGCGAGCGAGCGATAGAGAGACAGACAGACAGACAGTGACAGAGACAGAAGAAGAGAGAGAGAGAGAGAGAGAGAGAGAGAGAGAGAGAGAGAGAGAGAGAGAGAGAGAGAGAGAGACAAGCAGAGAAGAGAGAGAGAAAGAGGAGAGCAGAGAGTAGAGAGAGAGAGAGAGAGAGAGAGAGAGAGCAGAGTCAGAAAGAGAAAGAGAGAAGAGAGAGAGAGAGAGAGAGAGAGAGAGAGGAAGGAGAGACGAGAGAGAGAGAGAGAAGAGAGAGAGAGAGAGAGAGAGAGAGAGAGAGAGAGAGAGAGAGAGAGAGACAGACAGACAGACAGACAGTGACAGAGAGAGAGAGAGAGAGAGAGAGAGAGAGAGAGAGAGAGAGAGAGAGAGAGAGAGAGAGAGAGAGAGAGAGAGAGAGAGGAGAGAGAGAGAGAGAGAGAGAGAGAGAGAGAGAGAGAGAGAGAGAGAGAGAGAGAGAGAGAGAAGAGAGAGAGAGAGAGAGAGAGAAGACAGACAGAGAGAGAGAGAGAGAGAAGGAGAAGAGAGAGAGAGAGAGAGAGAAGAGAGAGAGAGAGAGAGAGAGAGAGAGAGAGAGAGAGAGAGAGAGAGAGCAGAGAGAGAGAGAGAGAGAGAAAGAGAGAGAGAGAGAGAGAATAGAGAGAGAGAGAGAGAGAGAGCAGAGAGAGAGAGAGAGAGAGAAGAGAGAGAGAGAGAGAGAGAGAGAGAGAGAGAGAGAGAGAGAGGAGAGAGAGAGAGAGAGAGGGGAGAGGAGAAGAGAGAGAGAGAGAGAGAGATTGCGATATCTTTGTTCCACATAGTAATTCACCAAACTATCCAACTAAAATGAAATCACATTTCAACAACTTTCCAATAAAAAAGAAAAAACATAGAACACCGAAAATTACATTATAATACAATATCAATTTACAGACATAAACCACAGGCAGTTTCCAAAAGAGAACTTTCCACCTTCATCATTGCAAACTTTCTTTTTCTGAAGTGCGACATCTAAACTTTTATTTTTGAAAAGGAATTAAGATATGTTTTCTCGCTTTAGCTTATGAAACATTTCATAACGTTTTCTCGAACAAGGATCTGACTTTATATCTGAATTTATGTTTAACTGTCTAACAGGATAGCCAACTTTGTTATGATTATGACGTTTGTGATGGTTATATTATATAATGGTTACATATGCAAATGAATAATAATAATAATATAATAATAATAATCAATGATAATAATAATAATAATAATAATAATAATAAATAATAATAATAATTCAATAATAATAAACAATAATAAAATAATTAATTTAGAGAAAAAGGCGGGCAGATTGTGAATAATACACCCATCCACCAGGCAGGCAGGCAGGCAGACAGACATACGGGCATACGGGCAGGCTGCGGGCAGGCATACGGGCAAAGCAGGAAGGCAGGCAAGCACCAGGTAGACAGGCTGGTTAGCAGATTGCAACCCTCTCACCCTCAACCTCTCACTCACTCAACTCATAACTCACACACACTTCATAAAAGGGATATGTAATAAGAAAAAGACAATTATATTATATAATCTGAGTTTATTTTTAGTCTTTTAGTCAATTTGCATCGTGTGGAATATGCATTTAACAAATGGTAAATAATTTATAGCCACAAATCACAATTAAGCAAATATTTTGACAAGCCAACGACGAGAGAGAGGAGAAGAGAGAGAGACGAGAGAGAAGAGAGAGAGAGACGAGACGAGAGAGAAGAAGCAGAGAGAGTCGAGACTAGAAGAGAGAGACGAAAGAGCGAGGAAGAAAGATGAGACAGAGAGAGAGGAGGGGGAAGGAGGGAGGGGCGAGAGATAGAGGCGCGAGCCGGAGGGAAGGGGGAGAGAGCAGGAAAGAACGAAGGGAGAAGAGAGAGTGGGGAGAGGGAGGGCGGGGGAGAGAAGAGCGCGGCGAAGATGAGCAGAGAGAGGGGGAAGAGGGAAGAGAGGGAGAGGGGACGTGAGAATCGAGATCCGGCGCGATCCAGCATGGAGAGGGGACGGGAGAGAGAGAGAGAGGTGGAAAGCAGGGGAGACTGAGAGAGAGGGGGAGGGAGATCGAGCAGCGGGAGAGAGAGAGACAGGGGGGCGAGAAAGAGAACAGACAGCGATGACAAGAGAGAGAGATAAGAAACGACGAGAGCACGCAGAGCGAGGAGAGAGAGGGAAGAGAGGCTGTGGGGGGGAGAGAGGCGGGAAAAAGGGGGGGGAGAGAGAGAGGGGGGGAGACGAAGAGAGGGGGAGAGAGAGGGGGAGAGAAGAGAGCGGCGGGGAGAGATAGGGGGGGAGAGAGAGAGAGAGAGAAGGAGAGAGAGAGAGAGAGAGAGAGAGCAGACGGAACGAGAGAGAGAGAACACGAGAGACAAGACGAGATGAGACCGAGAGAGAAGAACGAGACGAGGAAGAGACATAAGACCGACTGAAGAAGTGAGTGACTAGAGAGAGAGCAGAGAGAGAACGAGCGAAAGAGCGACGAGTTAATCTAAAGACGGGAGACAACGAGAGCGACAGGAGGAAACGACGAGAAAAGAGAAGAGAGAGAGAGAGCGAGAGAGAAGGAGAGACTAGAGACGAGAGAGAGGAGAGAGAGGAGAGAGGAGACGGACGACTCCTAGGAGAGAGAGAGAGAGAGAGAGAGAGAGAGAAGAGAGAGAGAAAGAGAGAGAGAGAGAGAGAGAGAGGAGGAGAGAGAGACAGACGAGAGAGAAGAGAGAGAGAGAGAGAAGAAAGAGAGAGAAGAGAGAGAGAGAAAGAGAGAGAGAGAGAGAGAGAGAGAGAGAGAGAGAGAGAGAGAGAGAGAGAGGAAGAGAAGAGAAGAGAGGAAGAGAAAGAGAAAGAAAGAGAGAGAGAGAGAAGAGAGAGAGAGAGAGAGAGAGAGGAGAGAGATGAGAGAGAGAGAGAGGAGAGAGAGAGATGAGAGAGAGAGAGAGAGGAGGAGAGAGAGGAGAGAGAGAGAGAGAGAGAGAGAGAGAGAGAGAGAAAGAGGAGGAAAAGGAGAGAAGAGGAAGAGAGAAGAAAGAACTGAAGAGAGGTAAAGTAAGGAAAGAAGGGTAAGGAGGAGAAAAGAAATAAAGAAGAAAGGAGAGAGGGAGAGGGGGAAGACTAGAGAGAGAGAGAGAGAGAGAGAGAAAGTATAACATAATCTTAAATATACAGAACTGGATCTAAAATAAAGCAGGTAATTCTAGCATCTGGTAAGTTAAAGAAATCCATACATGAGACAGCCTGTACAGCATAAATTTTGATAATGAAACAGGCATAAAAAGGACAAGTAAAAATAATATCTTGCAAAATATATTTTTTCCCTTGCAGTCATTCTGCAAGTTTTTTTGTTTTGTTTTGTTTTGTTTCAGATATATCATAAAATAAATATTATTTTTCGTACTAAAGTATCTCATAAGATAACGAATTCGTATTTCACACATATTGTTAGCACCCATATCACAATTTTAACAATTTATTTGCATTTTATCCTTAAACAGCGAATCAATAAAAGTGCTTTTGAAAAATTTCCATTATAAACATCATTTAAGACATCATTATACATTCTTTTCTATTGCCCTAATATATACATACATATATATATATATATATATATATATATATATATATATATATATATATATATATATATATATATATATATATATTTTAGGCAGTCACATCAATTAATATTTAGATGTATTTGATCACAGATATTCCAGGGATGGACATTTTTAATTGTTGGAACACTTTACAATAACAAATATGCACAAATTTACATTCACAAAAATAAAAATAAAATCATCCTTCTTCATTAACATAAAAAGTTAATATTGCAATAACATTAAGCATAATTATACCTTACTGAAATGTGAAAATTTAAATACAACTCACAAATAGAACACTTCTTGTATTATGATATTTCATTAATGAAAAAGGTGAAGCATGGCACGGGCTCACACCATTTAACTACTATGCTGTCGACTCAGACTATATTTGCTGCATTTTTTAAAAGGGGGTTGAAAGGGAGATTCTATATGAATTCTATTGATTTATGAGTAAAACATGCATAATTATTCAATGTATATTTTGTTTATGAATACACACAGGCATAAAATAATAGAATGTAAATAAGTATGAACTTAAAAATACATTTACAAAGAATCATTTATAAATATTTTAAAACTTAGCATTAATCCTAATTTTGAACACTCTGTCTCTATCTTGCTTAGCCACGTAAAGATGTTCGATAAACAGTAAAGGCTCAATTTAACAGACCACAGAACCAAAGAACAGATTTTGGATTTAATAGATATATTCTGACTCCTAAAATTGTCCCCAACTAATATTTTTGGCAGTTCGGGGTGTACTCAAGCTTAGGAAACATCATCAGCGTGGGAAATAATTCAGGCTAGCTGTTAAGCTTATGGATAATTAGCACAAGGTACAGTCTTAAAGAAAACTTTTAGCAACTCTCACTCCTCTTTCTGCTCTAACTGCTTGTACGTTGCAATTGTCTACATGCAATCAGACATTGGTGCTTCCATTCATTTCAGAATCTAAAGCTGTGGATTTCCCATCATCTCTACTACCTGATACTGAACACAACTGTTAATTGTCTTTTTCAACATTAAAAAGATATATAATGGTCCCCCAGGTTTAATTCAATCTAACAGATTTCCAGCATTGACAGACGTCCCTTTTCCTTCCTAGTTCATTAAATTGAGGATTACTGTACTTTCCTTAGGGGGCAATGGTCAAACTTCTCTTGCTCATGCTTAAGCATATCAAGTGTCTTTTATTGCTATGAGAGAAAAATGAAAATGCTATTTGAAAATAGTTTATCTCAATTAATAAAACTAAAAAAATATATATACATTTTTTCACTCAATGAAATACCTGTTTATGATACCTAAAACAATACCAACACTATGCAAAACTTTTCAGATATATTGCATATAAATTCTGAAATATACCTTTAAAGAGTGAAAATGAAATACATACTGCACTTTTACAAACAAAAACTTTGGATTTATGCATAAAAGAAGAAAGAATACATATTCATGGCATTTCCATTTTTCTTCAGAGATAACCAGACACTGACATCTTTGAAAAGCACCAAGAAGAGGAAACTTGATACAAAATTAAGAGGTAGTCTCAAATCTTTACTAACTAAACAGACAAGAGTAACAAACTTTCCAAGGAATTTTGTTTAACACATGTACCTTCTAGTGATAGACCAGTCATCATCATCATCATGATCTCACCAAGTTTGTACTATAACATTTTTGCATTCAGTTGCATATTAAATATCTATTGTGCAAAAGATATCACTCTAGTATGATCCTTTATCATACGTCATAACACAAAATACAGTTATAATAAGTGGCATGGGCATGTGCAAGACACTTCACACCACAAACTTCTGTTTTATTGTAATGAAAAAAAAGCTCTTGCTCAGAAAATGCTTCCTCAACCAAAAACATATTTCAAAATGAATAAGTGATAATAAGATACCATAAAGAAACAGAGGCTTGTGATTTTGAATCATACAGCAATCAAAGACCGGTCACTGTTTAACAAATTCTTGAACATTCCATTAACATACTAACATTTCTAATACTTCTGTCAATCTCCATACCATAAATCTATATTACTTGTTCTAAAATATGGTAAAATTAGTAACAACTCATAAGTATAACATTTCATATATAAATAAAACAGTGGCATAAATTGTTAGTACAGATCTGACATCACCAGTAAAGTAAATATCTATTGCCTTTACAATTCATCTAACAACTGCACTATGATATGCCATTATAATGTTGACTATAATAAATCCAACTCCTCTTAAAGGTACTATTTTTACAATAATAGGAATTATGTCATTTTATCTAATATTGTAACTACCATCCATACGCTATCAGAGATGTACTTTACCAGTATGAGGTAAGCTAGACTCAAACTAAAGAACTAAAAAGCCAGTAACAAATATAGAGCCACACCATAACAATAGCTGCAGGGTTTCAAAGGGTATTCGTTCAGTTGACATTGACTTCTACCCTAAACACATATATTGCTAGTCAACACAGGGATAACCCATTACTCTGGAAGAGGTTTAGATCGTATGTAATCAAGAACATTGTTACGTTGGTTATGATGGCATGCCTAGCTATATGAACAACTACATTAACTGCTATTTGTTATTTCTCATTGCTTTGCCGGAGGTAATATTTTCTACATTACTTGATTTGAAAATAGATTATGATATATCTAATGTTACTTCATCTGGGATTGAGTTTGAAACATGTTTAGATTTGCTCCTTATTTAGACAAACAATGCGAGTCTGATTTCTCTTATCAACATTTGGCATAACTTTCATCCCTACTTCTCTTCATTTATACATAGTTAACCATTTCATTATGATTTCCTAATTGGTCCAGTTAATTATGTATATATGTATATTTTTTATTTATTGGCAATCTGATATCAAAAGGTAAAAAAGTACAAATAATCACATTTCTGAACTCTGCACCAAAATGTGATATCTTCAGAATCTGAGGTACAAAGCATATGATCCAATGGTTATTTCTGGGGTGGCACATTCACAGAGCAAAAAAATTCCAGTGCAGAATCTCCACATTTCTTTAATGTCCTGCAGTACTCTATAGTACTCTGCTAAACAAAGGCTTTTAGAATTACTATTGTTAACACTTGTCTCTTAAACATTTTAAATGGAGAAATGTAACTGTTAAACAAGTAAATTTATCTGGAAGAAAAAAAGAATGCCTTGTAACAGTCTCTGAACTAAAGTTTCTGCTTAGGAAAAGCCTTTGAAATGAACCAATGGGAAAGAAGACAACTAAGAAGCAGTGATAGAAAAATAGTTAAATAGAAAATAAAGCATTAAGAGCAGCTATCAGAAAGTTGCTAAACCAGAAGGTAGGAGCTGTGCAGGTAAGCACCCAGGCAGCCCTACCCTTAGGTAACAACAAATACATGATTTTTCCGTGGCAATATTTATTTACATCAATACTTGACAATATTTGCTTTGTCATGATACGGCTATCTTTTTCTTCAATTCACTTAATAGAGATAGCCTTATGCCATATTTTCCTTTTATTTATTTTTGCGTACATTCAAATATTCTTAGTATCTGCAAGAGTGTGAAGCCACAATATATAATAAATCTAATGTCTCCTATGAGCAGAGGGGGAGAAAGGGTGTATAATTAGAGATATTTGTGAAATACACTTGATAAAATATAAATAATGAAAATACAAAAAAGCCATCTTGTCTGCTTCTCCTCAACACAATGCACTGATATCTCAGAGAACCCAATTCTATGGAAGCTTTTTTATAGTGAACACACATCTATTAGGACAAATATCTGTTCTCAAATGCAAGCACTTGCATTTAACATGAACACTTTTTTGCAACAGTATCTCTGAAAAAGAAAAAAAGGAGACAAAAAAAAAAGAAAAAGAAAAAAATAAAGAGAAAAAATAATTCATCTTTATCACCATCAACAATGCCAACAAAAGAACTATATCTTTTGAAAATGGGAAACAAGAGCAAAAACACTTCATTTGGTCAGATTGAATTCAGTAATCTGCTTCACACCCAATAAACATAAAGAAATATAACTTACAAACATAAAAAAAGGTAGTTGTGCAAACTGACCAACATGCCAGACCTCATGCCTGTCTTGAACACTTCATCTTTATGTACCATTGCAAAAAAATACCAAAAGGGAAATTCAGGTTTTAAAATATACATTATTCAGCCAATTGGTACATGCAGGTCAGTTCATGTGGCATAAAACAACTAGATTTTCCAAGCCTGTAACTGTATGATTTTAAAATATTTGCAAACATCCTGATCAAAATAAAAGTACTATATACATAATAAATATCCAGAAAAATCAATTCACAAGTTCTTCAGGTTATCTCCAAACATTTAAAAAATTTGTGGAAAAAAGCTAACACTATCAATACTTATATATGTATATCCATTGACTTTATCTTAGAAATTTTAATAAGGCCAATATCAAAAAATGACAAAAATTCAAAATGAATTCTTCATCAGTTTTACAATTTGATATTCTCCACTGAGGAAAAAAAATGTACAAAATATCGAGTGGAAGGATTAGGACAATTGCTTCATTTATGCCTTTGGACATGCGTTATAAGTTTCTCTCCCTCTTCACCTTCTCGTGGAGCTCCTCTGCCTGGTCTCGCAGCTTTCCCAGCTCCTCCTGGATCCTGTCAGTAATCACCTTCCGCGCAGTAGTCGGGTCCTCCTTCTTTGCCTTCATCTCCGACACCAGGTCTTTGAAGTCCATGGGTTCGCCCACCACAACCGTCACCAGCTTCCCAACCCTGGGGATGTACGGCTTGCGGTTGGGCAGGATGTCGTCCATGCCGATATGGTAGAAGGGCAGGACAATTGGACACACTGGTGACTCGTACACCAGGCGGCCCACACCCCATTTGAGTCGCATCCTCTCCAGGCTCATGTTCACCTTGCCCTCAGGGAATATGTGCACCCACTGGCCCTCCTTCAGGCGTTCAATCAGGAAATCCATTGCCTCCTGGGATGCGAGGTAATAACATCAAGTTCTATTTCTTTTTCATACATATATGAGAAATGATACGATATAGATTTGAGAAATCTCCTTGATTACTTCTACATAAAACAAAAAAAGGTCAAGATCTTAGAAAAGATACAAATCTATTACAAAAAAGAGTCCTCTAAGAAAAAGTGATATGAATACCTCCTTAAATGCAAATTTGTGAATTAATAACCATGAAAATCATATAGAACAATATTCTGCACTTTTAACTTATAGGTCATTCTTTAAGAATCCTTCAGATCTAAGTAATTCCATTATTTGGAAAATTTTAACTACTGACATCAATTACTTCTAAAATAAAATCATCTATACTCTTCATACACATCTATTAAAATCAGGATTAAACTAATTCAAATGCACCAATCTAAAATATTCTTAGCATTAATAACAGCAACTAACCTGGTACACTCCCAGGCCTCGAATAATTGGCACACATTTCCCAGCACTGAAGAACCAGCTGTATATTTTGCGTGTAAAGGCTATGTCATGTGCTGCTGGCGACCACCTCATTCTCCGTGCATTCCACAAGTCACGCCATCTTAACAAACCTGTAATGTAAGAAAAGGATTTAAAACGTGGAAATCCATATCCATTAATGATATGTATCTCATAAAGAACTGTAACCATATTTCCTTACTTGTGATGCGTAAAAACCATTGTGAATAAAACAAAGAAACAATTTTATGAAAATAAGTAAATTTCAGTATTTAATCCTTTGCTTCCAAACAGTTCCACTCATCATTCCTTCTAATCTTGCTAATGAAATCATCCTTCAATGCTTCCATAAGGATAATACAAAAAATAGGATACAACTTCCTGGCACTCCCAAACCAGATTACCATTCCATTGAATGATTAATCAATGGGCTTAACTCTGACTGTCAGAGTTCTTATCTTACACTATCATTTCCTGTGTCTTTTTTCAAGAAACAGCTGGCCTTGAGCTCCACTGACTCGAGGCATTTGATTACAATCTCCAATCTCAAGTAGGACAATGACAATGTACAAGTACAACAGTTCTTTTCTTTTTTCATTTTACTTTTTTGCTATTCAGTCAACGGACAAAAAGGGAGTCC